CATAATCATATAAATTTGACTCTTTTATAGCCAATTTTCATAACTCACTAACTTAACATACTATGCCATTTCTCGGCATAACTTAGCCCACTTGGTTATTTTTCAACTCATACATATGCAATCATATCCACAATACAATCTTAGTCCCCAAATTACTCATTTCATCATAATTTGTCCCTTAGCTTAAGATTCACCAATCATAATCACAATACAATCTTAGCCCCCAAATTACTCATTTTCTCATAATTTGTCCTTTGACTTAAAATTCACCGACACATAACCATTAGAACACAAACATACTCAATCAAAGCCCTTTTGTCTCAAACAATACATATACATATAATCAGGCTTGATTTCACAAAAACACAGTTCATTACATGCATGCAATCCTACGGCAACTCATATACACTTATATATACAATTTTTTAATTCAGTTCATTATATAACCTTAGAGTACATGGCTTCTCAATTCAAGCCGGTCCAGACTCTCTTGCCTTGGCCTGATCACTTTTCAATTATGTAAATATGTAACCACGAAGGTGAGATAAAAATTTCAATAACAGAATAACTCACTCCTATTAACTATCACATGCAACAATATGAAAGTAAACATAGTATACCATTAAAACCTCATTAAGTAGTATTTTCATCACATATCACATTTCATTTTTCATCTTTTCATCAATCCTAAAGAATTTCGTGTTATCTCATGATATTTCAACATATCACATAAAATACTAGTATGATCTCTACTAACCAAACCTCCAAATTATCCTGATATGAAACCATAGGCTAATCTCAGACCAATATACACTCTCATTAGTCTTGAGCTCATCTACAGTGGTAAAATTACCCGACCAAAGATGTTCTAATGCACAATACGAACTATAGTTTTCCCCTAATACACATAATAGGGCGTCGTTGACTCCAACCCTTATCACAAAGATACTAAGGAGTCTCTCATCTCTAATATAGTACCTTAATAGGCACTCAGAAGATCTTCTCTAACACCACACCTTTCAAGGCACTAAGGAGAATTGTTTCCAACACTGTATCCTATTAGGGTACTAAGGAAACCTTACCATATGGTCTTTATCATCTCTTATACTCTCGGGTGAACTCCCACTACTCAGATCATGCTTTCTCGAACCATTTAAGGTTCCCTTTTCACAATTTTTTTCCTTATACATAATACACACACACATATATATCTTTACATTACAAAACACAATTTCAATGTTCATTTTGACCAAAAGTCATTTTACACACACACAATCACTCAATGCCACAAAGCATGCTCAATTCAAAATCATTTCATGTATTACATATCATACTAACATATAGTTATAATAAACAGTCAAACAAAGGAAGTTATCAGTTACCTCAACCCTTTTGTCTCTAGAAAGATTACCCATGAATCTCTACTATCGTACAAGCTTATTTCAAGCTTCCTTTCTCTACTCACTCGCCCAATATGCTAATATGAAAACATTTGGCATATTTTAATCAATTGGTCCATTTTGACCAAAAACTCATTTTTACCACTTAGGGGCTATATTCATCCGTAAACTCTTTTCCATTTATCCATTTTAAGTTTATGGCTACACAATTACTACTTTACACCACCTCAACCAGTCTTATTGCACTCAGATCAGATTTTTGTCCAAACTTTCTCTCTCTAAAGTCTAAAATTAAGCCTGCGGATTCAAAGCTCTACCGTTCAACTGTAAACTAGTCATAAAGCTCTAATTTAACTTGCAAGAACCCTTTTATTACTATTAGGCAAGAATTAAATCCCTCAAATTTTACCGATTCAATTTTTCTATAACTCATTTTTAAAGAAATTTGTGCAGAATGGAAGGTAAGATTTATACATGGCTTACCTGGCAAGTTACCGATTCGAATCACCTTTTACTGTTCTAAAATGACTTAACCTATCTCCTCTCTCTATTTTGTGTGTTTCTCAAATTCTCTCCCCTAAAATTTTTGAAATTTATGACTTATAAAGTGGATTTTTGGTCCATACACTGTGACACATGTAGCACAAGCCATGGCATGTGGCATGGTGAGATTCATTCACACCACGCGTACTTGCTTTGACTTGAAACGGACTCCTATCACTCATATCTTCTCATATAACACACAAACAAGTCAAAATGCCAATTAATCATCCAAATCTCTAATCCCACTTTAATTTCTACTTCATCCTCGATTAACCTCTAAACTTAGGATTAAGAAATTTAGGATGTTACACATCTCCTCCTGTCTTCCTGAAGTTTCATTTCAGTTCTCCTTTAAGGTTCTCTTCAGTAATTGAACTAGTTAGCAGGGACAAATTCCATTGTGCTTTGAAACTTAAAGATTTAATTAAGTAAGCTTGGCTTTGGCATTTGCTATAGGAAGTTTATTTATCAGGGGCATGCCTTAAGGAAAGGAGTAACTTTCATGAGTATCTAGAAACAATGGGATCTCTCTTCTTAACTCATTCTTTCATCTTAAATCCTTTCATCTTAAAGGTTTGATAGTTGCAGTTAATAAAGCAAGTTCTTCTCTTAACACAGGGAACTCTAAAGCTTCCATCAATGGCTTACTTTTTACCTTGCTCAATGCTTCAGAAAGAGGGATTACTTAAACATATAGCGAGTGTAGTTTATGGAACGAGTCTAAAAGACTATACTTACACTGAGATTATTGATTAATAATAAGCTAGCTACGCACGATAGACTGATTCAAAGACAGATACAAAAGGCATTAAGAATTGCTTATAGAAAGAGAAGACTAACTACTGGTGCGGAAGATGAGCTGTTAATAAAGCTTGATTCTCTTACTTACGCAATTCAGTCTTTAACAGCACTTATCTCATATCTTGGACTATTCTTAATGATCTTACTAGGAAACTGTAGTTTGTATAGCCTATATTCTATAAGTTCTAAGTTAGAGTGAGGACTGAAGGATGGAGCTATTTCCCTGGGAAGGTCAAGCCCATTACCAAAGCCCCACCCATCTACCATAATGGACACTAACACCATTTCAGAATGATAATGAAAAGGAAAAAAGTGACTACCCTACTTCACTTATAATAAGAAGATTAAGGAGGGAGAACGGAAGACAAAAGAGCCCTAAGTTATATCATACTAAGAACTAACTTGCCATTGACCTAATCAAGCGGGAGATCACCTTTGCTCATGTTCTGAGAATATTCACTGCTCTAAGTAGGCGAACTAGAATCCTTATGTCAGGTTGGTTTTCTTCCTTACTGGCAAGCCCCTTCTCATAGTTGCTTGTCTTTTTATCGCTACGCTTATGAGGAACTCGCTTTCCTGAGCCTGCCTTGCATACCCCATTAGTTCTTAGTTTTGGGAGGGTTTTCTAAGGTAGTAACACTTTGCATTCGCAAGAACTCTTTTGAGTTTGGTAACATCGTTCAGTTCATAGGTTTGGACACAAACGGAAGCAATATGTTTCTTAATGAATCCCTAAGGAGAATGAAGTTCAAAATAGGAAACAAAACAAGCAAGGGACTTAGAGATAGAAAGTGGTGCACTAGCACGAAATCCATCATTGGCAAAACAATTATTTGGTTATGCCATTTTGGGCTTTGGTAATGGTAGTCATTTGTGATTGAAATTAGTCAAACTAATTATAGTTTTCAATAATCAAATGTAATACGCTTTGAAAATAAAAAAATAAAATGAAAACAACTTTAAGATGTTTCCATTTTTTGATTTTAAAAACAAAGAAAAATACAATCATTGATTTTTATAATTTTATTAGGTTTTGCTTTTAGTCCTTGTAGTTTTTTTGTAGTATTTTTAGTCTCCATAATTTCAATAAGATTGGGTGAAGTTTGTTTCCTAAGCCCCTAACAATGTTAAATTGCTGAAACTATAAGAACTCAACATGGAAAACAAATTACAATGACTAAAAATAAAATCCAATAAAACCATGGGGATAAACGATTGTGTAAAACAAAAAACAACAATAATTTTGCAAATGTGTTTTTAATTTTTTTTTCTAAAAATAGAAAATAATTTTTAAAAACACGAATGAGACAAGTCTTAATTAAGAATCTGATTCAATCTCTGTTCCATCCAGCACACAATATGCCCTTTGCTGATCAATCTGCAGGCTTGTTTGGGGAGGAGGTTGCCAAGAGAAAAAATCCGTGTTAGGTGATGATATGATGGAATCTTTCAACATTGAGATTTAGAAAACTCAGAAATGGAAGACCACCAAGTTATTAATTCCTTGCTTTGTCAGATAGATTAACAAATATGTATAAAATGAATAGTTGCTCCAAGAGAGAAAATGTTGTTGATTGAGAAGTAGACTTATTTTTTTAAAAATGACAATAAATAAAAAACAACTTGGTATGTTTAGTTTCATGTTATTTTAATACTTTTCAAATATGAAATCAAACATATCTTTAATAATAATTTCATCCAAATGGCACAACATACTAGTTGAATAAAAACCAAAAGTAGTTTTGGATTCTTAGGCAACGCGCGTTTGGTTACATATGGAAAAAGAATTGTTTTCATATTGTATAAAAAAATTAAGATATTTAAGGTGTATCATATCGTATTTATCATCTTTATGTTATCATTATTTAATAATAAAATTTTGTTTCTATTTATTTAGAAAAACCATTCACTTTTCTCAACTATAATTTTTTTTTTTTTCATTTCATTTTAGGTTGATTCTATTCAACGTACAAATAGATCCATGCATATAAAAGGATGCAAGAATCCCTAAACTGTCATTATTTTAGGTTAAATTACCATGTTAATCTTTAATTAGCTATCATATTTTATTTATTTGAATTTTGAAAATCTCACTACACATTTATAAAATCATTGTGGTTGCGTTGCTTTCCTAATGTGTATCACACGACAAGGAAAAAACTTTAAAAGTCATTCGCGTGTACATGACACCAACATAATGAACCTAAATGGTTTCAGAACTTCAATTGAATGACAGAAATTGAAAAACCCAAGAAATGAAAATAAAACATATGTTCATATAAAACAAGTTTCATTACATTATACGAATTTTCATGTACAGATATCGAAATACAACAGAGGCTTTTTCCAGAATCCAAAGTCTCTATGCGTTGAATCCTGTATAATTAAGATTATATATTTATTCCTGTAGCAAAAAAAGATTATATATTTATTCAACCTGAGCTTTCTTAACTTTGGTCTTGAACAGTAAAATATGCAATTTTTCAATTGAAAAATAAAGGAAACACCCCGTTGAATGCGTCACAAAAGAGCCAAAACTTGAGCCCACAATACAATGCCAGACCGGACCATACGCTTTGTCAAACTCCTGCACATGAACTTTATATTATTTAATACATGGCACATACTATAATTTATCAAATCAATGCAAAGTGACTATTTTACAAATCTCGCTGACCAGAAATAAATATATAAATTAAACAATCCATGCTTCTTTTATTATGCACATGGGGTGGGAATTAAAAAATGTACAGGATTAGTTTAGGGTAATGATATGTTTCTTTTTCTAAGTACATATAATTAGCAATAACTTTAGGGCCTTGAGGAGTTTAATGTTATTTTTTTAAAACAAAAAATTCCATCCATTGGCGTCTTTAAAAACCTGATATATAATTACTGACTGACTAAGCTAATCTAAACTAACACTGTGTAAAATTGTTATTTAACATGATTGTACCACAAATATTGTGAAGATCCTTTTGACGTATTTATTGAATATGATTGTATATTTTATAACTAAAATTTAAAACTTTAAAATAAACTGATTTAACTCTTTTTACTAGTCAAATCAAGAGCAAATGGTGCGTTTAATGTTATTTTGACATTTGGTTAAGGTGGGGAATCTCTAATGAATGATTTGATTTTGACAATAGACAGTTTCAACAGAATTGGGTTGAAGAAGTGGACGGTCAGGATTGAGAGATCTAGTCTTGGTCGTTGACATAGATCAGCGAGCCATTTCGAATGATTCTGACCAATGAACAATAAAAGGTGAGGGAGGGAGAGAGAGGAAATGGCCATTCATGACTGGTCTAGTTCATCATCATTCGATTCTTCTGTGGGGTTCAATGAACGATGCTCAATCATCCAAGAAACAAAATTCCAAAAAGAAACAAGAAGTAAATAATTGTATCACTATCTGCTGCGCGAGCTAGATGATATACAGACCACAGGAACATGCACAGCTAACTAGAAAATTTGCGGACAGGCTCAATTTACCAAGAATGAATATGCCCATGTCAATTATATATTCATGCCTGAAGTAGACCACAGGAACATGCACAACTAACTAGAAAATTTGCGGACAGGCTCAATTTACCAAGAATAAATATGCCCATGTCAATTATATTTTCACGCCTGAAGTAGGTCCCTCTAATAAAAGATGGAGACATATCAATTATATTTAATTATGAACAATTTGGCCAACCAGATTTTCATATGCATGATCTACCAAATAATTAATTAATTTTCCCATCATTTATGTGTTGCTTAATTAATTACCATGGGAACTACTGTTTAAAGAGACAAAGAAACTGAGATTTTAAGTGTTTCAACTGGAGAGGTAGGTGAATTTTGAAGCATACCTTCTTTATGTTATGAGCGATGTGTTTAGAGCTAAACTTCTCCAAGCTATCATATGTTCTCCTAGCACAGCGGAAGGCTTGCACTTGCATGAAGCTTGGCATGTCAGTGACCAAAACCTTTACCTGAAGATATGCAGTCACAGAAGATAATGTTTCAATCTGAGACACTGACTTTCTATTCCCCTCAATAACTATCCCTCTCACTGCTGACAGATTTGATTCAATGTGGGAGACTGATTTCCTTCCCTCAACTATTACTCCTCCTGATTCTAATGCTGATTCTGCAGATATTGACTTTCTTCCCTCATCATATCCTCCTCCTGATCCTAGCTCTAAGCAAGAAGTTGATTTTCTGCCCTCAACAAATCCTCCTCCTCCTCCTGCTTCTGCTGCTGATAAGCCTCTTTGGCCGCCATTAATGCCGACACTCAAGCTTCGAGCTTTTGATATCCTAGTTAGCCAACAGAGTGAATTGGATTTCTTCCCCACCTCGACTACTGTAGAAGGCTGATCAAGCTCATTATTCTTCTTCCTTGGATTCCCTTTCCCGCCTTTGTAAATGTACAAGAACCCTCTCTTCTGCTGGTTAGCCATTTTCTGACAGATTAGTCTCTCCCTCCTCAAGGTCTGAAGTGAGTAACAATGGATCCAATAAGAGCCAAGGCACACAGAAATATATATAAATGTGTTGAAAAGGGCAGTGTTTGGAATCACGAGCACAGGGAAGGTCCATTAGAATAATGTTTATTAGCAAGAAGGTGAAATATTTATAAAGACAAACCCATGTGTTGCTGCCTGTGATCAAAATAATATGACAAACGCTAGTGTAGATTTCACCTATATTTACATATATCATTCTCAAGTGGGCCCTTCAGTAATGAACATGTAATAATGTAAAGCAAACTTTTTAATGAGAATCGTCTTGGTTACAGGTCTATTAATAGTCATCTCAGCTTACTTACAGATGGGATAATTTTTAACTAAGAATTTCTCTATTAGTTTTGATTCAAAGTTCAAAGCCCATAAAATAGGCACTGTGGTGTGGGATTAATCATTGGCCCTCTAAGGCATATTTGTCTCCACATAAACTGTTTCTAGACAGCCAGCATACAGGGACCCCAATCTTCGCCACCGCCTATTTTGTTGGGCACCCTTATAAAAATGTCACTGTCCTCTTCACTAAATCTTCAATTTCCATTTCTTTAATCAAACAGCTAGCAGGCATGACCTAAAACTAGTTTTTTTTGGACCCTACTCTCTCAAATGGTTTGTGGATTAAACTGATGATAGTGATGATGATGATCAGCATTAATAGCTTTGTTAAGAACTAATAGCAAGTAGAGACATTTTGGCCTTGTGGTTCACTATTTTTGGCAGTTTGTGGTATGACAAAAAGGATAGACTTTTTGGCTTTTCCTCTCATCCTCATGGTTGTGGTAGCTTCACACATTGCTGTCCATTAAATGAATGAGTGTGCACAATACAGCTAAGCTACTCTATAATAAACAGGATGTGGATAACATTCCAAAACAGTTGTGACTTGAAACTTTTTGAATCATTTTAGTTAACTATCCCTCTACAAAAAATAATCAAGAAAAACAAAATTAGAGGTCTCATATGACCAAAAAAAATGAGTGATTCCAACATTTGACACATTAGTAACTCTTTAGTATCCATGCTCTTCAAGCAGTGAGACAAGGGCCGTACTACATAAGGGCACTGTAACTTTTTCTTCTTTACAAATAAATGAATAGATGTACTTTGGAAAAACTCATATAAGACCCTGATATAATTAGATGAGAATAGTATGATTGAGTACAAGTTCAATGGAAATGTCTATCTTAAAAAATTAATATATTGGTTGAAATAATTTCTTAAACTTATAAACTCCACTTCACTTATGAGATTTTTCGATATCAAACTCATGAAAATATCACCCATTCGATAGCTAACATCTTTGATGACTCCACTTTATGACACTTCACTTGATTTTTGACCAATCAAAAGGCTTCATGGGTAGCATTTTTTATGAGACCTACCTCTCAATGAAAGAACTAATATCATGAGTACAAATTTAAAAAGAAAATCATCCTAAAAGATTAGTTTATTGGATGTGAGAACCTCTTAAACGTGCAAATCCAATTTCAGTTGTGAGACTTTCCATGCAGGACTCATGACATTATGCATAGATTAAATTAGCAATAAACCAATTCCCTTACAAAATATAAAATTTAGAACAAGCCTCGCAACTCAATTCAGAAGCATTACTATACAATTTATTCTTCAGATTAATACACAACAGCCATCTAGTTAACTGATGATGATGATGTACGCATGACTCGTCAAGCAAAAGAAGTTAATAACTGAGAGCATCAAGGGGTTGGTGAGCGATATAGCAGCTTCCGAAGCTTAAAATATGCCCAGAGACGAAGAACTTTTCACAATCCTTCTGATCCCAGTGACTAATTATTAAAGAACTACGGTTGCGAGTCGAAGATCTCTCTTCATCGAGGATCATCGAGGATCACAATCCATCTAGTTTAGATATTTTATTAAAAATTATTTATTCTGTAAAAAAATTATAAAAATCAAACATTATTTTATATTTTTTGTTACAATAATAAAAAAGTTATTATTAATTATTTGTTTTAAAATTTTATGATATTTTCTTTATTTGTTTTATAAAAATAATTTATTACTTAATTATTTTAAAATTTTAAGGCATTTTTGTCTATATTATATTTTTAAGGTTAAAGTATATATTTAGTCATTTAACTTTACATAATATTTCATTTTAATTCCTTAACTTTATAAGATGTTTTTTTAGTCCTCTAACCCTAACATTGTTAGGTTATCCTAACAAACTTTTACATCAAACTTTTAAATATTGACAAAAAAATTTTAAATGTTAGTATATAAAATTTATTTTTTAAAAATAATAATTATTGATATAAAAAATAATCATTTAAAATTAACAATATTAGAGTTAAAAGACTAAATAATACTTTATAAAATTAAAAAAACTAATTGAAATTTTGTATAAAGTTAGATGATTAAAATTATTCTTTAACCTATTTTTAAAATATTTTTCTCATCTGCTGTATTAAATTATTTTTAAAATTTTTTTAAAATAATAAAACACCTGCTTCTTTTTTGAATTTTGATTTTTTTAAAAAAAATTAAATGAACATAATAAAAACTCATGAAATAATTTTTTTCACAAATTAAGTTGAAATAAATGGACCCAAAATGTTTATTCTTCAAAGTTTTACTAAATTTATAATTTGATCCCTATATTTTAACTATGATGGGTTCAAAAGGAAATGTGAGCCACACCATTTCACTACTTGAACCGGATCCATGCCAATCAAAGCCCAATATGTTAAGCCCGAAATTGGAATGGCAGGACTTAAGTAAAACGGAGCGTTGCAAAGGTTCTTTCCCATAACCCATCAAAAATTCAAATCTTGAAATGCGGACCAATTTGCGGGCCACAAAGAGCATCTGCCCTGCACGAGAATGGGGAACAGTTTCAATTTGAAAGAGGGTAGCCACGTGTTGTTAATTTGACTTCCAAAAAGTTTCAAAAGCACTTTTTAAAAAGCCGAATCCGATTGCAAATCAGGCAATGAGGATGGGCTTCATGCAACTTCAATGTGGGTTTCTTATTTGGGCTTGGGCCTGTAGGATTAATAAATACTTGAAATTGATTCACAATAAAGTCTCATTTTCTGAGTTTAAGGCCTAAGAAATAGGGCAATCAGAATCCAAAATATAAATGGGCCTTGAAGGGTATAAGATCCTTTTCTTGAAATTAAGGAATGTTGTTTATCGGGCCTCAAGAATGCAAAAGTCATGAAAGAAACCCAATTATGTGACATCTCAATTTTTTATCTAGCATTTAAATAATATTAGGATGAGATTTCATAATAATTAGAATTAGAATTTATTATGTGATCAATTGAGTAAGAAACTAAGAATATTTTACATAAAAATAAATTAAAAATAATTTTTTAGAAAAGAGTAAATGGTCATATATTATTCAAGAAAAATATTTAAAATAAATGTTACAATTTACTAATTAGTTAATTATTTAAAAATTATTTTATATAAAATACATAAATTCAGCTCAAAATTTTAAATTTTGAAAGTCTTGAAATTTTTTTATATGTATAATTAAATAGGTTTTTTTATAATATATATTTAAAGATTTTAAAAAACTAAATATAATATAAAATCAAATAGTGGATAGCCCAACCCACATTTTGATCATGGAATAGGGTATTATTTAGGGAGAATGGCATTAAGGGCCCTAAAAATAGAGTTTATTTCACTTAGGGCTTAAATGAATCTAAAATTGCTTTGCAGGCCTTGAGGCTTCAAGTGTAATATTTCTTTAGAGCAAAAATACTATTTTGCCCTTAATGGATAGAAATGAAATTGAACACAGAGAAAGAATGATAGACACACGGGAATGGGTATTCAACTAGAGAATGGGAAGGTTTCTTATCTCTAATGGAGAGGAATAACTTTTGAGGTGTGTAGATTTCAAAATCTCTCATCTTAAGAAGTGCTTTGATAAGTTCATGATCTCAGCTAGAGGTTTTTAGATTTCTCACATTGTTGTAGTAAAAATGAGTTGAGATTTTTACTATTCTTGCTGTAGAAATGAGAGGCATCCATTATTGCTGCATAAATCATTTAAGGGTACAAATAATTTAAGGTATGTCATTGCTGCATGTCAGTTGCTGGTGAAGTGGCGACAGAGATGATCTTCACTCATTTAATATGTAGTGATTTATTTAATAGAAGCATTTAATGGGGGTTTTACATAAGGTAGTGGGTGTATATGAGATGGACTTTTTATTATACAAAGTTAAATGTAATCTTGTTAAAATTGAAATATTATTTGTGATTCTACTGTTAATATGAGGTAAAGGTTGCTGAACCATTTTGGCCATGAAAGTTTTAGAGTGGATTAGTTGTCGTACAATAATGATGGTTGACTTCTTTATATTGCAATTTCACATGTGAATTGAATAAAATATGATCCAATATAAAGAAAATCTTCTGTCAGAAATGTTGGAGTATTTGTTGTGCAAAAATGAACTTTGAGTTGTTTTTATTAAATGTTGAGTTGTGCATTATATTAAACCTAGCCTGATAATAAATTGGAATCACATGATGTTCAGGTGAGAATATATGAACTTTGTATTGTGCATAGTAGATATTATGTTGTGTCATGTTTGCCTAACTTGAGCATTCCTTTTGTTAAGACTAGCCTAATGACAAACTAGAATAACATGAACTTTCAGGTGAGAATTTATGAATCTTGTATTGTGCATAGTAGATATTGTGTTACATATTATTTGCCTACTTGTGCAATTTATTGAGGAAGCCTAACCTATTGATATAAGCTAAAGGTTGTTGAACTATTAAGTTGGTTTAGGTAAGAATATATAAACTTTGTGTTGTGCATAGTGGATATTATGTTGTGCTATATTTGCCTAACTTCAGCATTCCATTTGTTAAGCCTAGCCTTATGATAAACTTGAATAACATGGACTTTTAGGTGAGAATATATAAACCTTGTGTTGTCCATAGTGGATATTGTATTATACATGATTTGCCTGCTTTTGCAATTTGTTAATGAAGCCTAACCTACTGATAGAAGCTAAAGGCTGCTGAACTATTAAGTTGGTTATAAAAGTTTTAG